AGAGTAAACGTAACAAGGAACATGCAGCAGTCACGGCTATACCTACCTCCTCGGGTCTGAGAATCTGCAGTATGCAAAGTAAAAGATGAAGACCGGATGCGCTTTCTTGAAAACCCATTACATTCTGTAAGAAATTCAATGTGAGGGGTAAAACTGATTGTGATAACAAAATAGCTTCAATCCATGAGATGGGAGGAGAAATAGAATTTCCTTTTGTCTAGATACATCTTCATCTGACAACATGTTAATACCTGAAGCACAACTTTAACTATTGGGGTTAATAACTGGGTGACTATAAACTGATAGGCGTATCATCCTACTCCGAAACAGTTAGAAACTAGTGGCTTTGGCAAGAAATGCATACAAATTCTGAGATTACACAGAGAATATTTTTGGAAGGTTGAGGGACAGGCAATGGAGAATCATGGGATTTTAGCGTTGCTAACATCAGTGTTCTCAGGGACTTGCATGTCCTCTTTCAAGACAAAAGCCAGTCTACGTGCATGCTTGAAAGCAAGAAAAGCCATTAAGTTTTACATAGTCTGCCACATGCAAAATGCTTGTGTCTGCTTATTTCTTGGTGTAAAGATTGCTTTTGAAATACCGGATGTAAATCATTACCAGGCTCTGCTGCTTCATACAGGGTGTCTTCTGCAGGTCTCTGGAAGGAAACAAAGCTGCCAATGAGAGCTGAGTGTCTGCTGTTTTCCCATCATATTTCCACCCTGTCACTTTATAGGAGAATTCTCAGAAGCCAGAGCTGTTCACCTAGGCTAGGAAAAGCTACTCACCTTTACTTACTAGGCGTGTATTCAAGAAAAAGCAAAGCCTAGTAGAGTGGTTTTATAGTTCAGCAAGTGCAGAATCCCTTGTGGGAGCTTGTTGAAAATGAAGATTTTAAAGCACTAACTCCCAGGATTCTGAAGTGGCTGGACTGAGTGGGGCCTAGGAATCTACTTTTTCAACATAAACTTGGGGGTTGAGTTTTTCCTTAGTCAATTTTATGTGTAATAAGGTAAATTACCTTCATAAGCAAGAATGAATAACAAGAAAATACTAATTAAGCTAAAGTTAAAAAGACAAATTATCATTTGTCTTTCAAAGCAAGTGATTTAGTACAATGCTGGAAAAGCAGAGAGGGTCTTCAAAATCCCTTTTGAATCATAAAAGGCAGTTTAGAACTTATTTTATATCCAGTTTCAACCTGGGCCAGTGGTAGGGACCCATGGTGAGTGTTAGCACTCCTAAACTCTTTCAGTTCCTCCCCTTTCCAAGTCGCTCTAAAAAACCAGATAATTCTAGAAAAATGGCACGTTATCCATAGATTTAAGACAAAGCTTCTGGCTTCCCACTTCACCAAATTGCCCTACTATGTAAATATTGTGGAGGTGCTACTCTGCTAAGTGAAGAACAAGAAGATGAATTCATACAGCAGCGATATCATTTGGGATAGCTAGCTTCTCAAAATACGATTTTCTTTGTCAAAGTAAAAATCAAAGAAAAGTAGCTCAATCTTACCTTAAAAGTTTGTTCTCTCTTTTCAAAAACAAATATTGGTTGCGCAATGACAGATTTTTCTGTGAAAGAAAAGGAACATGCAAGAATTCTAACACTACTCTGACATTTCTAACACCAACTAAAAATATCTGAAGGTTTTTTTGGTTTTGTATTTTTCCCTGCCTTTGAGTAAAATCCAAACTGTTTTACATGAATGCTATAAATCACAAATTTACACATGATTATAACAGTTAGTTACAGAAATAAATACTTGGGGAAGTGATAGTATTATGTTTCCATAAACAGAGAGATCATCCTATTAAAAGAACATGATTTTAGTGTTTAAGGAAAACAAAATACAATTACCTGCATTTAGAAACTCATCATGACATAGTCATTAACATCCTTACTTTTAGAATGAAAAATTTCAAAGGATGAAAAAATCTCATCTGAGAATAGTACTTCTATTGGAAGTTGGACCTCAAAATATAAAAGATATAGATGTACTGCATTCTATCCTTAAAATGATCCAGTAATAATTCGTATTTCCTTGACAAGAGTAGTCATATACTAAGTCATATTTTCAATATTTAGACTAAGATTTAATCTTAAACAGGGTTGTAAAGTAGACAGTTCATCTTCAGCCCTGCCAACCTTATTAATCGTCTGTATTTTTCTATCTTAGGTAATAGAGGAATAGAAACTCATTCACTCTAGGGTATAAGTGAGTGGTAACAGCTTTAAATATCAGCACTCCAGAATTCTTAGGGACCATGTTATGGTTGTTAAGAGTTTGGGCTCTGGAGTTAGGGAGACGTATTTTTTAAACTTTTTTTATTGAAGTATAGTCAGTTTATAATGTGTCAATTTCTGGTGTACAGTATAATGCTTCAGTCATACATAAACATACATATACTCATTTTCATATTTCTTTTTCACCGTAAGTTACTACAAGATATTAAATATAGTTTCTTGTGCTATACAATATGAACTTATTATCTATCTATTTTATTTATTATTTAATATATATTAGTTAGTATCTGCAAATCTCGAACTCCCAATTTATCCCTTCCCATCCCCTTCCCCCATGAGTAACCATAAGTTTGTTTTTTATGTCTTTGAGTTGGTTTCTGTTTTGTAACTAAGTTCGTTTGTCTTTTTCTTTTTTAGATTCCACATGTAAGTGATGTCATATGGTATTTTTCTTTCTCTTTCTGGCTTACTTAACTTAGAATGACATTCTCCAGGGCTATCCGTGTTGTTGCAAATGGCATTATTTTATTATTTTTTATGGCTGAGTAGTATTCCATTGTATAAATATACCAAAACTTCTTTATCCAGTCATCTGTTGATGGACATTTAGGTTGCTTCCATGTCTTGGCTATTGTAAATAGAGCTGCTATTAACATTGGGGTGCATGTATCTTTTTGAATTAAGATTCCCGCTGGATATATGCCCAGGAGTAGGATTGCTGGATCATATGGTAAGTCTATTTTTAGTCTTTTGAGGAATCCTCATACTGTTTTCCATAATGGCTGCACCAAACTATATTCCCACCAATGGTATAGGAGGGTTCTCTTTTCTCCACAGCCTCTCCAGCATTTATTGTTTGAGGACTTTTGAATGATGGCCATTCTGACTGGTGTGAGGTGGTACCTCACTGTAGTTTTGATTTGCATTTCTCTGATAATTAGAGCTAGTGAGCATTTTTTCATGAGCCTATTAGCCATTTGTATGTCTTCATTGGAGAATTGCTTGTTTAGGTCTTCTGCCCATTTTAGATTGAGTTGTTTGTTTTTTTATTATTAAGTTGTATGAGCTGTTTATATATTGTGGAAATTAAACCCTTGTCAGTCTCACCTTTTGCAGATATTTTCTCCCATTCCATAAGTTGTCTTTTTGTTTTGCTTATGGTTTCCTTTGCTGTGCAAAATCTTGTAAGTTTAATTAGGTCCCATTTGTTTATTTTTGCTTTTATTTCTATTGCCTGGGTAGACAGCCCTAGGAGAACATTGCTAAGATTTCTGTCAGAGAATGTTTTGCCTATGTTCTTTTCTAAGAGATTGTTAGTGTCCTGTCTTGTGTTTGGGAGGCACATTTTCAAATATAAGTTCCACCACTAATTGTCAAGCTACTTTGGGAAACAATATATCTGTACCTTTAGTTTCTTCATTCAAAAAAGAAATGAAGATTGTAATAGTACTTACTTTATAGAATTTATGTGAAAATTAAATGGGTTTTTATATATAATTACTTAAATCTTAACAAGACAAAAAAAAGCCTTTAAGAAAGGATATTATATATATATGGCATAACAGCAATCCCCATTCCAAAACTCATAGCTGACATTGCTAACTTTTTTTTTATTGAGTTATAGTCATTTTACAGTGTTGTGTCAAATTCCAGTGCAGAGCACAATTTTTCAGTTATACATGAACATACATATATACATTGTCACATTTTTTTTCTTGCTGTGAGCTACCATAGATCTTGTATATATTTCCCTGTGCTATACAGTATAATCTTGTTTATCTATTCTACATTTTGAAATCCTAGTCTGTCCCTTCCCACCCCCCGCCCCCTTGGCAACCACAAGTTTGTATTCTGTGTCTATGAGTCTGTTTCTGTTTTGTATTTATGACATTGCTAACTTATGACAACACTTTCTTGACGAGCCCAGATATGACCTCAGAGATGTTCTCATTATAGGTTTCCAGCAGCCATTACCAATATATTGTCCTGGCATACAAGCTGAGGTAATTTGCCATCGCTGGGCTGAATAAATAAAACTCTAGCTGAAGAATTTCAAGGAACTATTGGATAATTATTTCTTATATACCAGAAAGGGCTTCTCCAGCTCCCCACAAGCTTATCCCGTAATAGAGTGTCAAAACTCTGCCCGACCACCCTTTGCCAAGCTCCTGGGGTTCTGTGAACTTGGATACCTTCTTTCCATCCAGCGAGATAAACTGTTCACTTTTTTATGCAAATGTTTACTGTGCTGTCTGCCCTTGGAGCCAAGTGAACCACAGAGGAAAATGCTCAACAACATATCGGCATTACTACCCATATTTAACTGTGGCTCAATTCTTTCTTTCTCAGAACAAGCTCCTTTTCTAGCAATTATATTAGATTTAAGAAATGAGATCTTGAATGGCTTTGAAAGGAAATAGTCTTTGTGAATGTGCACTGGACTACTTGTGAAGTGGAATAATAAATGGGCCCCTTCTAAATTGGACTTAGGATAGTCATCCTTAAAATAGTATAACTTGACCTAACCCTAGGCAAATAACATGTTGACTTTTCCTCTATCAAATCATAGAGCTAAAAACGGGCGAAAGTGATCTTCAGCGGCAGTATTAATTAGGAAATCATAAAGGCTTACTTTATGGAAGGCATATGGTAAAGTAGAAAAGCCATTTTTATTCATCAATTCAACAAATATTTATTGAGTATCTTTTTGTGCCAGCCACTGTGCTAGGATCTAGGCATACATTGTCTGATTAAAGGTATATTAGTCTTGGTGCAGCCACCTTCTCTCCCTCACAATGCCCAGCTCATTACTTAGAAAGCAGATAATCTCCTTACCTCCTCTTCCATTTATATTTTCTCCCCATGTCCCAAGCCAGTCTCTTGGCTCCAAAGACAAAGTCAGAAGTAAACATTTGTCAAGCCATTCGGTTAATAGCGGCTTTCTTACCTGACCCAGTAGGGAAACTTGAAAATAAGAGCATGGACCTTAAAATGATATATTTTTAAATTTATCCTTTCTTCTTTCTAATATATTCATTAATCAATTCACTTATTCAACAAATATGTATTGAGGGGGACTACATACAAGATACTTTGCAAAGTAAAAAGTTCAAGATGAGGCTGAAGATGAAGTTGGGGCTTTGCAAAGCCTTGTAGGTTGTGCTGAGAAGTTTTGTTTTTATTCCAAGAAAAATGGGAAGCCAGTAAGAGACTTTAAGCAATGGCGTGATTCACTCTGATATACATTTTGCTTTTTAAGATCAATTTGCCTGCTGTGTGGTAAATGGATTAGAGGGGGAAGGCAGTGAGGGAGAGGAAATAAAAAATCTAATTAAGAGGCTAGTCTAAATTCTAGAGGAGAGCTGACAAGGTTGCTTTTTATTTCTTTCTTAATCTTGCATCCATGATTTTGTGAGGCAAATGGAATAAATAAAAGTTTAAAATACAGTCTTCTGTTAAAAGGAATGAAAGTGAGGGGATAGGGAAAAAATTTTTTAAACTTAAAAATTAATTTTTATGTTTTATCTGTTTTAAGGTTCACGTAGCATTTAATGAAGCCCTGTATTCATTGTTGTTTTCTGAAATAACTTCATTAAAAGAAGACATTCATTCATCCCACAAATATTATTCAAAGTTACACACAGGAAGGGCACAAATTACCATTTATATAATTCAGTCTCAGTTTACTTGTACTTCTGCAGTGGAGGTACATTGTGGCCAAGTGCTTTTATCCATCATCTTGTCTAACTTAATCCTTTGAATATATTTGTGGGTTAAATATAGTTTCTACCATAGTTACAGATACTTACTTACAGATGAGGAAACTGAGGCTCTGTAAAGCAACTTGCTCAGTCATACCACTAGTAAGTGACAAAAGCCTTTAATTAAACCCAAACCTCCCTCCTACGAAGCCACTGCTTTTAGCTCCCACAGGTCGTACTGACATATCTACAACTCTACCAGCACAATGTCATGTTCTCAGTGTATAATATATACCATGCAGCACCACGCCCAAGAAAACTCAGTACAAAATCATGGCACTTATACTTTTTCAACTCTGTCAATGTTGATTGATGATACACATATACTTCTACTACGAGCAGTGGGGATGCTAAGAAGCAGCTTGGTGTAATTCCTGCAGAACCACCAAGGTCCAGGGACTGGCACTGCTAAGTACTTCTGGAAGCAGAGGTGAAGTTTGGCTAAAAATAGGAAGTAGTTTTGTCTGTCTGGGGACAAAGTGACTGTTCCCCTTCTACTCCAGCAGAAGACTGGGGGTTCCTCCCTGGAAAAGATGGAACATCAGGCACAGCTTGAAGTGGAGCTT